CTGTAGCAGCAGCTGCTGTCTCTGGGAGATCCTGTGTCAGTAGCAGCAGCAGCAGCTGCTGCTGCTGCTGCTTCTGCTGCCTCACCTGCTGCTGAGCCCCAAGGACTTCTCTCTCTCCACTCTGCAGCGCTTCTGCTGCTGCTCAGGCGTCTGTACACCGGACTAGCAGCAAGGGAGGAGAGCTGATCGTGCCGTGCAGCAGCAGCAGCAGCTGCTGCTGCTGCTGCTTCCAACTTTCTGGCCCTTAAAGCTCTCAGCCGCATCTCAGCTAAAGTAGCTGCTGCTGCTGTTGGGCTGAGAGAAGGGTTTACAGCAGCAGCAGCAGCAGCAGCAGCATCAGCAGCAGCAGAAGGGGACTCGAGAGAGACAGACACTTCAAGGCTGCCGCTGCTGTAAGGAGATAGTGGGCGTGCTTCTCCCATGCGGCTGCGCTGCAGCAGCAGCCTTGCTGCTGCTGCTGCTGGTCCTGCCCCGTCATTGCTGCTGCTGCAGTTGCTAAAGGTGCTGCTGCTGCACCTGCGTCCCGCTCTGCTGCGGGGAGTTAGAAAAGAGAGAGTAGGGGACGCGTATCTTGCTGCTGCAGTATCCGCTCTCGCTGCAGCAGCCCGTGCTGCTGCTGCTGCTACTGCTGCTGCTGCTGGTCGTGCTGCTGCTGCTGCTTCTCCCTGGGGCGGCATAGCGGAGCCACTGTGCTGCTCGTGAGCCTTCCGGGGAGAAAGTACCACTAACTGAGAAGAGCTGCTTCGTGCTGCTGCTGCTGCTGCACGTGCTGCTGCTGCTGCTGCTACTGCGCGCGCTGCAGCCGCTGGAGGGTCCCGCTGCTGCAGCTGTTGCTCCTTCACAATCCAAATTCTCTTTCCAAGGACTTCACTTCTGTGGTGCTGCAGCGCCGGCTGCCTCTGGTGCTGCTGCAGCTGTCTTGCTGCTGCGCGGGTGGAGCTGCATGCTGCTGCTGCGCTGCTGAGGCTGTCAGCAGCAGCAGCACGAGACCGATATGCTGAGGAGAGCAGCTGGGGGCCAGCGCTGTAGGCCCTTGAGTGCAACATTGGCTTTGCTGCTGCTGCTGCTGTTCCTGCTGCTGGTGCTGCTGTTCCTGCTGCTGCTGCTGCTGCTGTGCTTTGCCGGGAGCCAACCCTTTGGGCGGCAGCAGCAGGCTCGAGGCGAGGCAGCAGCAGCACCTGCTTCCTGAGGTGCTTGCCACTGCGTTCTGCAGCAGCAGAAGCAGCAGCAGCGGGTGCTTTTGCTGCTGCAACAAGCGGGCTGCTGCTTCTTGGGTGGCGCGAGCAGCAAGCGGACAAGGAAGCTGTCCTTGGCCTCAAGCAGCAAGCTGCTGGAGTCTGCTGCAGCTGTTGCTGCTGCAGCAGCTTCTGCTGCTGTTGTTGCAGCCGCTGGTGCTGCTCGTGCTGCAGGAGCAGCAGCTGGTGCTGCTGAGCACGAAGCCCCTCCCCAGAGCCCCTGCAGCGGGTGCAGCAGCCAGCTGTTGTCTTTGTGTCTCTTCTGGTGCTACTAGCAGCAGCTGCAGAAGCAGCAGCAGCAGCCGCAGCAGCAGGGCGGTTGGGGTCCTGCAGCAGCAGTTTCCTCAGCTGCTTCAGGTCTGTCCGCAGGCTGCTGTGTCTTGAGCTGGTCTCATCAGAGGTGACGCTGCAGCAGCAGACTCCAGAATCAGCAGCAGCTGCAGCAGCAGCAGCAGC